CACTATCCGTCGGTGCTGTAGACTATCAATAGCATACCTGTCTCTGGCGGTGTTTTCATCAATATCAATGATTTTAAGGGCCTTCTTCTGGATGTTATCAAGTTGACGCAGATTAGTAGGCGAGGAATTTATCCAGCATAGACATGCGTATTCCAGTACACTACGAATTTGTGCTTTATAAACAGATGCTCTGCCCTCGGTATCAAGTTTGGAGGCAACTTTCCGTAGTGCACCTAGCCTTTGTCCAGCTTTTCTTGCTACTGAAGATAAATGTTTGGTCCACAGTAGTTTATCATCAAATGTAACACCGAGAATATCCAATTTTTCTTCTAATTTTATCCTATTTCTGCCAAGGTACAGGTCAACAGTAGATGGTATTTTCTTTCTGGAAATGACCATGGCTTTACATTTAGATGGTTCAAATGTCACCCTCCATTCGTTTGCCCAGGAATACATTCTAGAAGGGCTCTGTTTATGCTTGCAGTTATAGCATCTCTTCCGACTGCAGAACGTATAGGGGTGTAGAGTGTGGCATCATCTGCGTATAAGTAAATCTCATTTTTGCAGAAATTTACTAGGTCGTCAATGAAGATGGAGAAAAGGAGCGGTCCGAGTAGTGAGCCTTGAGGCACTGAAGAGTTGATATTCATTAAGTCGGATGATTGTCCTGAAAGCACAACATTAATAGACTGATTCGCTAGATAGCTCTGTAACCAGGTGAGTAACCCACCAGTTAACCCTTTGATTGAAGTTAGCCCACAGTCCATTATGCCATACTTTATCGAAGGCACCTTTGATGTCTATTGTGATTACACATATTTCGTGGCCACTGTCTAGGGCTGTGTTCCATTTCTGGGATAAGATGGTTAGGAGGTCAGATGTGCTATGACCTGGTCTGAAACCAAATTGTCTGCATGATATAAGTTTGTTGCCAATCAAATAGTTTTGAAGCTGAGTGTGCACAGCGGCTTCCATTACTTTACTCATAGTGCTGAGGAGAGATATTGGACGATACTTTGATGGGTCTGACTTGGAGTCGCGTTGGTGAATTGGTGTTACTGAAGCAGTTTTCCATTGATCAGGAAATGTACTGCATGAAAAACTAATCTTGAAACATTTGCTAAGAGGACCAGCAAGTTCAGAACAAAGAACTTTTAGCACTCTATTGGGAACCTTATCAGGTCCGGAGGCCTTGTCTGATTTCAATGACGCCATTATTTCCATAATGTTAGCTGGCTTGAAGTCGATGCTCTCAATGGTACATGTAGTTTCGGGATTATGTATAAGTGGAGCAGGGTCTGCGTCAAGGAGAGTACATTTCTCAGAAAAAGTCCGACAGAACAGAGTTGCCTTTTCCTGTGATGTAGTATATACAATGTCACGATGTTCAATGACAGGAATATCAGCACGACCCGATCTGCCAGACATCGAGTTAACAACTCTCCACCATTTCCTACTGCTTAAATTTCTGTTAGAAAGTTCAGTTTTAAGATTGGCAGCATACTTAATTTTAGCCATTTTTTCAGCGTGGATGTAGTATTTTCTTGCCCTTTCATATTTCTCTTTCTTGTAAGGTGTTTTGTCTTTCTTCATTTGCCGATATAATCGGCGCTTTCTTTTTGCGGTATTTCGGCAATTACTATCGAACCATGCTTTGTCACCAGTCTTTTCTCGAGCAGATGCCCATCTCGAATTGAAGCCCCCTCTTCACAATTTGCAAAAATAGCCTCAAAATAAAGCCCACCTCGAAAATATCCCATGGGCTTCTTTTCAAGATAGGCTCATGGGCTTCTTTTCGATATATTACGACTGTTTGTTCCAACGTTGGAAAATTAGCGTTGAAAGAACCTTAGACATTTTACGTTGAATCAAAGTTGAGTTTTACGTTGATGAAAACTTTCATATACAACAACAATTAAACATAGATTCAATGTTTGCATATAACGTTGAATCAACGTTATTTCAACCAAGTTGTGCCCACTGGGGAGTTACTGTAGCATGGGTTACCTCATTTTCGGCAAGTCATTGTCAAATTATGATTGAAAGGTATTTTCTGTTCCAGAATTATAAACATTAACATACAGTAGTTACATCTGATGCTTTAAAGAAAAATGAATAATGATTTTTTTTAAAAGAATACTGGCTTTTGTATTAGCCTTTTAAAGTCCATCTAAAATGACATGTTCTAGTTACTTTTAAAATGTCATAAAACAATAAAGAATTATATAATAACCATATCGTTGGCTTTCCTTTTATTTTTAGATAACTCGTTTTTCTGGAAAACGAGTTTTAAATCACTTATTTTTTTATGAATTCTGTATTGCTAAGCCCCGCCTTATGAATATGACCCGCATTTGACCTTTACCGGATATTACATACACTCGGTACAACATAACACAGGATGTTCGCGGGATCTCGACTCTTGGCAACACAAACATATTAGATAGTAGGATTCACGGGTTTACGATATTCTCAGTTAAGGCCTAGGGTATCATACGCTGGAAATTCGGAGACTAATTATTAAGTAAACATTAAAAACATAGTAGCAACCCTCGAAATTAGCGTCGGCAATGCATCACGTTATGACCACAACGTAAGAGCTAGGATGCGAGTAGGCCTAGGCCCTATTCTCTGCATCCACCCATACCACCGAGCCCGTACTCGCTACATACAACAAACGAGTTTGAATAAAACATTAAAACCATTTTGTTTTGACTTACTTTATTCATGATGATTAATATCTTACACAAAATACACGTATATTACTGTATATTTTATTATGACAGCCGAGGTTGTTTACTTTTTGCTAGAATACGTTGTAGTAAGGTCGATCACGTGTTTTCTACAAGTTGAACGTCGTCTTTTCTACAGTATCCTACAATATATATATATATATATATATATATATATATATATATATATATACACGCATAATGCTATATTATGACGGACGAGGTTCATGTTTACTTCTTGCTTCAAAGCATATCGTTCGTAGGGCAGATCACTTTTTCTCTACAACGTGGTCTTTCTTCAGATGTTCTTCGCCGACGCACGATCAGGGCCGGCTTGACCCGATTTAATAGTCGGGTAGGAACAGGGGGTTCCCATGTACCCCCAGGATATATTTTTTTAACTAACATTTTTGTAATCCTGAAAATGTCTCATTAAAGAATTTTGATGTTCCCATCGAAAAAAAATGTCCCATGGGGTTGTTTGCTGGCCATTTTGGCGGCCATCTTGGATTTTCAACGAAAATAATTAATTTTTATAATTCATTGACTAAAAATCATATAAATACAAAAAAAATGACTTCGCAATACATTTGGCGGCCATATTGGCGGCCATATTGGATTTTCAATGAAAATAAATAATTTGTATATTTTAATAACTAAACAACATATTAAATCAAGTGAACCTTTAAATTTACATTGTAAGCAGTGTTTATGTTCCCAATACAAAACACTGACTTCCCAAAACTTTTGGCGGCCATAGCGGGAGCCATTTTGGTGGCTATCTTGGATTTTCAATGAAAATCATTAATTTGTATTAATTTATTAACTAAAAATCATATAAAATCAAATGAACCTCTAAATGTATATAGTAAGCAGTGTTTAAATTTTTAATAAAAAACCTTGACTTCCCAATAAATTTGGCAGCAATTTTGGTGGCCATTTTGGATTTTCAAAAAAATCATTATTTTAAATAAAATCACATAAAATCAAATGTATACAGTGTAAGCAGTGTTTTATATTCTAAATACAAAACATTGACTTAGCAATACGTTTGGTGGCCATATTGGCGGCCACTTTGAATGTTCAATGAAAATTGATTGTTTAACATTTGACCTGTATATCATACAAAAAATAAGTAATGTTGTCATTAGGAATAGATTGAGAGTGCAGTGCACTATACTCTCCCCCAACTAACTTTGAACTACAAATTCGAACGGTCTGGCCGTAACTATTCAGGAAGCGTTCACTCACTCCGGGGTTTTCGACCACCCTTGGGGTTTCGGAGAGGGTGGAACTTTGCGTTGGCAAAGGGTCAGGGTGTGTTACCTTCCTTTACACTAGCCAACAGATGGTCGGCATGATAGCATAGGGCTCCCTCAACACGCACCAAATAGGTGAGAGGACCCAACCTCTTAATTACACATCCATTTACATGCTTAATTAACCCATCTCTATTGATTTTTACTCCAACATGTTCACCCCCACGTCAAATTTTCTCAAGTGCTCTACCTTACTGGCAGTGGCCACTTGTTTCATATGCCTTAGGGTTTTATAAGACAAACCTTATTCTGGGGAGCATGCCTAAACAACATATCATAAGATGATTGCCCTGTCATAGTCTGCAGTGTGAGTCTAATCATTCAAAGAGACCTTCTCTCCTGCTCCCTAAACTAGGCCCTAGTCTAATAGTCTCAGTTAATTTTAAAAAACTTAATTTATCACGATCTTTATAGAGGGTGACGCTTCCAGCTAGGCTGATATTCAGGGCCCTCTAATGCTAAAGTAGTTTTCTAGTCCAGTGGTAGCCCCAGGATTTACCCGACGGGGGGGGGGGGGGG